AAAAATACACTTAGCTAAAAGAAGCTAGTTTACAGGTATTCCACCTAATATTAATAATAATAATAAAATTGGACAAAAATACAAATATAGAATATACAATTAAAAGAAGATTATAATCAATATATGCAAAAACAAAATATATAGAAATAAATAAATAGATGAAATATTGGATATGAAATACGTCATTGTATATATATAAATATATGCGTGCAAGCACACGGTCGGTAAAACTCCAGCGCGCACGCACGCAGATACATACAATATCTCTCAACCCCTCCCACAACTCCAAACCCTAGCTATTTCTAACCCAATCAAATTAATCCCAGAAATCTAATAACCATCCCTACAACTAAAGAGAAAAAGTACAAAAATAGTTAGAGAAGCAGGCTCGTCAATTAGCATATGTAATAGGACTCCATGCTGTCCAATTAAGAAATAATTGGACGAGGAAAATTCCGAGGACTGACAAAATTGGATGAGGCCGTAGGCCGAGTCCAATTTGGCAGTCAGAGGAATTTTTCGAGTCTAATTATTTCTTGATTGGGGAGCATGAAATCCCATTACCTATTGATTATATAGCTGCCTAGTTAATCCCATATCAACAAGACCTGTCCAATTAAGAAAATAATTGGACAGTTACCTATATGGGATTAATGAGAAGCTGTATAATTAAAATTAGTTATAGATCTTATACTTTTTATAATTCCTTTCGTTCCTGCGTTATTTCTAATATCGTTCGATAATTCATTCCACTTTTTGGCTGCAAAGTATTTCCAGGATCTGAGACCATATTTAGTCGTATTTACCTTAGGTAAAGTTAGAATTTTATCTCTTGTTAAATATTATACTTTGAAACACGTATATTGATAAGATTACTTATTGCTGAAGGCGCCATGTTAGATATACTGTTACTAATTGTAAATAACATGTCCTGAATTATGCGGGTCTCTAGAGATGATTATTTAATTTTCTTTAGTAGTTCCTGATATGACGCTTGCTTATTCTTATATACATAACGCAGAGCCCTTTCGTTGACTTCCTCTAATTCCTTTGTATTTCTTTTTCCGCTGATGGTGCCAAACTTGACTGCAATAATGAAATTACAGTTATACAAATGAACGATATAATGATTCCTTTGTCTTAATTGGCAGGATATTCTTCAGTCTATTGAGTGCATTGATTTGAGCACTCACTTTCCAACATATACTTGAAATATGCGCATCAAATTTTAGCTTATTTGTCAAGTAAGACTCCCAAAAGCTTTGTTTGGTCTGTGATTTTAATACTTTCATCTGCTGTTTCAAAGTGAAGATCGTTCTCAATTTTCCCTAGCACCATAGCTTGATATTTGTCTGATTTAGGCTTCATTCCATTTTGGGTAAACCATGAAGTAGCCTTGTTAAGATCCGAGTTCAAAATAATTTGAACATCGGATCCATGCTTACTGGAAAAGTAGATTGTAGTGTCATCTGCATTAGTTGATAATTCTGCTTTGTTTAATGGCATAAGCCAGGTCGTTTATTAAATAACGTTGGCCCTAAGATGGAGCCCTGTGGTACGCCTCTTGACACCTGTGTTAGGGAGGTACGTACAGTTCGTTAGCGAAACGCTATTCATTTTCATTTTCATCTCCATTTTCATTTCCATGTTCATTTCAATTTCATTTCATTCTCATTTCTTTCTTTCTTTCTTTCTTTTTTTCTTTTTTTTTNTGTTGTTGTTGTTGTTGTTGTTGTAAAATTCTATTTTCTTTCCATTTCATTTCCTTTTCCATTTCACTTTCATTTCATTTTCATTTAAAAAACAAGTTTTTCCTCGCTTCCCATTTGCATAACATTGACATTCATATCCAATCAACTGTCCATTCACCATAATATTAAGAACAACTCCAGTACACAATAAACATTTCTACAAGAAAACAAAGAGAAAAAAAACACTTAAATTCAGCCCCATCGAATGACAGCCTAGCCTAACCGAATGAAAACTTAGCAGAGTTTTAGGTGTTATTTATACAAACTAAACTACAGTAGTAGGTGACATAACATAAAACAACAGTACTCGGTAAACATTGCAGAGCGGAATACACAACAACTACGAAATACTGCAAAAATGACGAAATTCCTAACATGGAATGCAACAATACCTCAAGTTTTCTTGTCATGGAACCTGAGCTATAACGGGACCTGTAGCTAGTGGAGCAGCAGCTGATCCTGTTAGTCTACGTACCTTGTCCTGGAGCAGCAGCTGAGCCTGTAGTTTGTCCTGGAGCAGCAGCGGGGCCATCGTACTGAACAGCTATAAAAAGATAGTAAACGTTTTTTATTTGTATTTTTATTTTTGGCGCAAAAAGTGGGGGCTCTGAAGAAACAAAAAATATATATATAACATTATTTTTAAAAATTGCGGTCAGCGAATGGTCTTCCTGTGTTAGTTCATTCTTCCCCTCCCCTCTCCGCTTGGTAGTAGTATTGTCTTGGATATGTTGAATACCGATGGTAGCAACGAAGCTCATTATTATAAAATTGGAAGAATTACGCCATTAGATCTAGAAAACTTAATCATAATTAACTACAAACTGATTATTGACTGAGCCAATAATTACAATATAGAGGAGTGAGAATGGAATTGCAGCGAATCAAATTTGTGGATGATCTTCTACTATCTCTTGATCGATCGTTCGTTCTCGAACTTCAACTTTGAGGGCCTTGAATTTACACCAATTACCTAAAGATTGTGAGGAAGATGAAGAAAATTAAAGGAAAATTGGTTAAAAGAAGCTCACAGGTGAGAAGAATATTGATGTATGTTGAGTAAAAACCCGATTTAACTCGTTTGAAATCTTCGTTTTTAATTAGAACAACGCTATATCATTATAAATTTATTAACAGTTGTAACGTGTTAAAACTCATAAAACTAGCCCTGCAACGCTAGCCAGGAAATGAGTAAAAAAACTACAAAATAAGATTTGTGAAGTTTTGGATGAGTCTGTAGGGTATTTGTCCTATAAACGTTAGAGACCTGTCGTTTTAAGTCTTAATCAAATAATACTACAAGAGTGGTGAAGGTCGATGAAGGCGTTTGACAGAATACAGACAGACGCTATGTTATTGTTCAGCATCATGAATAAGTTTATTAGCTTAATTCCTTTTTTCAAATATAAAATTTTAAAAAAAGTTATCCATAATTGTTCATAATTAAGTAGAATTGCAGAATCTTACTATCAAATATTTCATTCAGATGGCGAGGTATTTTGATTTAGAAAAATGCTATACGTTATATAAATACCAACATTTCCTACCAACCAAATTTGTGTTTTGTAAATCACATACAAACTAGAACATAAGATTATGATATTTGTCCCACAGCAAACGTCAATCAATCTTTTTAAAGATCGATTGACAAATGTCAAAACTGACAGTTATGATAGTGAGTTTTCAACATATTTTTTGCACCAATTTACACCAATATCTGCAAAGTATGCATTCCTCAATGGGAAGTCCCATACAAATATACATAATCTTTAATTATAACCCAGGATAAAATTCTGTCGCTCGTTCCTCAAGGCCTCAAGCCCAGAAAAAATATCTCACAGCAAACGTCAATCAATCTTTTTAAAGACTGATTGGCAAATGTCAAAACTGACAGTTATGATAGTGAGTTAGTGAGTTTTCAACATATTTTTTTGCACTAATTTACTCCAATATCTGCAAAGTATGCATTCCTCAATGGGATGTCCCATACAAATATATATATATATATACATCCTCGTAACCCAGGGTAAAATTCTGTTGCTAGTTTCTCGCACCCAGAAAAAATACCCCTGGGCATGAAGTACATCTGTTAGAGCTTGTTCCATATGTCTGAATAAATCTCTTTCCTAATAATATTGGTCAATCTGCTGTGGGGTCAACCAATATTAAGCTTCAAGTGTTTGTAAGCAAACATGTGTTGGCATTATTTTAAATTTAGGGGGAGGAGCTCCTTACCTTTTTTTTTTTTTTTTTTTTTTTTTTTTTTNTTTTTTTTTTTTTTTTTTTTTTTTTTTTTGACTTCAGACCAACTTGAATGTGGATTCATCATTGGGATGGGACAAATATGATGAAATATATATTTTATTTTTGCACCAACATTTTTTATTTTCAGACCAACTTGCATGTGGATTCATCATTGGAATGGAGCAAATATGATGAAAGATTGATGGAATGTGTTCATCAAAATGATGTCGTCAGACTCAGGTAATTAGTTAAACTTTTCATTTTTTATTTGCATAATAAGTATATTTTTATTTTGTGTCAAAAATTAGGATGTTTAAATCCATTCTCTAACAGCACAATGTGCAAAAGTATCAACTCATTTTAATCTATTTGCCTACTTCTATGCACAGATTCTGCACATTAAACCGACACATATTTTGATGTGAAGCTGGCTCGTTTTACCAAATAAGATTTGTCAGTTACAGTATGCTTGTTTGGAAAGAAGTATGCAAATACATGTATTCATACTTTTGCTCGTTGTGCTGTAATAATAATTGTTATCTCAATTGGATATCAAAAATAAAGAGAAATATGGCATTTCATTGATATAATGTTTGGTTTGTTGTTTCTTTACATTATTGTTTTAGAGCAACTATTGCAAAGAAACCTGTATCAGTTATTAAACTAAGCCCAAATGGAACTACGGCGTAAGTAAATTAAATCATTATCAAAAATATCAAAATTAACTAATTTGTTCTATTGGCAAATCCATTTGTTTTCTATGGTTTTTGTCATATTTTCTTTTAATAGTGAAACAATGCATCATAGATTTGTTATTGGATCGTACTTGTATTTATCATTAGTCATATCAAATATCATTATTTCTAAAATTGTAAACATTCTATAATGCAAATGCCAATTTAAAAGTCTTAGGTTTTGGTCAATAAGTTGGAGATGCTATCTACATTCCTGATGACTTTTAAGTTAAAGTTTGGTGATGGTCTGATATTCGATGGAAATCATTTTTGGCCATTGCAAGGCTCTCTCAAAATAACAGTCCTAGTTGACTGCAAACTTCTTTAAAAATTATGGCTGGTCCGATCAGTTGCCAGTCATGATGACCTGAGCCAAATTTAGTATTTTAGCACGATTAGTCATACCTCATTTCTGGCTCGCAATGTTACTGGTAAAAATGACCAACAAGGAAAAGATTTGACCTGACAATTCTCAAATCTGGTTGTACATTGTCCAATGACCGGCCTTGAATATATTTAGCCATACTTTGCATACAAGGCCAAGAACTTTTTGTATATTTTTCATTCCAGATTACATACAGCATGTGAAAAGGGAAATGTAGAATGTTTAGAAATCATGCTGAAGGAAAATCCAGATCTCTCCATTGTAGATAGATCAGGTACGTCTTCTATGGAAACTCCAGTTTATATAGTGTACGTGTATCATTGCTGGGGAGAATGCTATATTAGACTGTTTTCTCAAGGTTGCATGCATATCCAAATTTAAGGGGCTTTGACTGGCCACGATACCAGAACAGGAGCTTTTTATTGAGAATTATCATACATTTCTATTAGACTTTTCAATAAAAATTTATCAACTGGATGATTCTCATCTTTGAACCCTGACCCTGTTCCAGAGGAAAATCGCTGAAATTCATACCCTGTTCCAGAGCGAGATCACTGAAAATCTTAACCTGTTCCGGTATTGCGAAAATGG